CCAATACTATTGTCGTAAAAGATTTAACGTTTCCCTTATTCCATCGTGCATGACTTTTTCGTGGCAATAGAGAACAAGCAATTTGGAAACCTGATGAGACTTCGGTAATAAGATTGGTCTTATGCTTGAATCTATGACGAATGCATTTTTTATACGACTTTGACACCTCAAAATGCCCTTTTCGTCTACGAAGAGCTGAAATTGCGAAACGTACAAAGGGGGTTTTTTGTCCCCTTTTGATTGTAAATAATCAATTTCCTTACAAAAGAATTCACCTTGAATTGAGCGTATAAGAACATTTTCTGCGTTAGAAAATTCTTCTATATTTATCTGATTTTCTCGTTGACAAGTATTGTTTTTTAACGATGCGCGTAAATTATGTATAAAACGAAGTACCCATGCTAATATACGGACACATTTTTGGTAAGAACCAAACCTTTCAAAATCTACAACGTTGCCAACTTTTTCCTTAGTTGCTAAAGCATGCGTGATATTGGGGCTACATTTTACTCTTTCCTCTAAAGCGGAACCGGATTCGAAAATATCTTCTTGCTTAGGCCATTTTGTGGGTGGCTGTTTTAGAAACCCCGGACCCTCCCACCAAAAAAGATTTTGCTCTAACTTGGGACCAAATATACCCCTTGACGGTAAATCAGCTGGGTTTTGAGATCCCGGGCAATAAAACCATTCATCGCGGCTTGAAGTTCGTAAAATATCCGACACGCGATGGCGTACAAATTGCTTCCAAACCTTATTGTTCTTTATCCAGCAAAGAGTGCAAACCGAATCTACCCAATAAAATACTTTGATAGGCGTGCCGTGAAGCTCCTCCCCAAGAGTACCTTTTACTGTGCTGATTAATTTTGCGAGTAACTGTGCCCCTAAAAGCTCTAAACGTGGTATGCTTTGTTTTGTTAGAGGACAAACCCTGGCCTTGGCAGTGACAAACTTGATGCTTACCTCCCCCGTATCGTACACAATGCGGAGATAAACAATTCCAGCGTAAGCAGTCTCGCTGGCATCTGAAAACCCATGTATTTCGACTTGGCTTACTATTTTACCTGGGTCAAAGAAACATCTTGGCATGCGAATCCCGTCTAAACGACTTATTTCCGAAATGAAACGATCATATTTTTCCCTTGCTTCTCCTGAAAGCTCTTCATCCCACCCCCATTTGTCTACGCAAAGTTCCTGAAAAAGCACTTTCAAATTGATGGTATACACACTAAGACAACCGATCGGGTCAAAAATCTTGGCTGCTAACTTTAAAAGAGAGCGCTTTGTGGGCTTAAGTGTTTTTGCTAGTTCTATAATGGACCCCAGATCAAAAAACAGTTCATCCTTTTTACTTTCCCAATTTACTCCAAGGACCTTGTTATTATTTTCCCTTTGAGGTGGGCCTATTGTTTGCTGAGCGAAGGATTGATCATCTTGTATGATCTCCTTCGCATTATCACCATTGGATACGTTACCTGCTTCCACCTTTTTGATTTCATGTAACAAAGCTGTGTCATTAGTTTTAAATTTGCGAAGGTTAAACCCACCTTCGGTCAAAATCTCCCGTGACTTATGGAAAATCTCTAACGCCTCATCAATAGAATTTGTGCTACATGATAAGTCATCAGCATAAAGCCGATCTAACACTTTAACAACACGAGGAAATCGATTAGCATATTGAGCAATGTGTTTCTTAATTGTGGCTCCCAGTATAGATGGCGATGGTCTTAAACCAAACACCAGTCTACAATACTTATATTGAATAACCGTTGGATTCGGCTTACTAATGTCGTCATACCACAAAAAACGTAAAGCATCCCGGTCTTTTTCATCAATTTCAATCTGAAGGAATGCCTTTTCAATATCAGCTATTATAGCAATGGCATGTGAGCGGAAACGTAATAACGTATCGAATAATGGCGGCATGTAATTATCACCAAGTTCTAAACATTCATTAAGAGATAAAGCTTCCTTGTGCGATTTCGCACTTCCATCAAAAACAACACGAAGTTTTGTTGTTTCACGATCTCGTCGAATTACACCATGGTGACTCATAAAATGAGGATTACCCTGATTCTCCTCCTCCACAGGGACTTGCTCAATTATTCCGTTTTTTAATTGCTCTTTGAAAATGTTATCATATTCAGATAATAATTCAGTGTTTCCTTTTAACCGGCAAAGCAAAAATTTTAAGCGATTTAATGCCAAGTTATAATCATCATTAAGGCAAGATATATCAACCTTCCAAGGAAGGCTTACCTGGTACCTTTTACCATTAAAGGTGATTTCAAATTGCTCGTCTTGTTTGTCTTCATTTGTGGGTTCACTCCCCTTGTCAATCCCGGATGATTCTTGTTTCCAAAACTCGCGAAGCGTTTGTGTTATTTCCTCATTTTCTTCGACAGGCCTTCCAACTGACGTATCTAAAATCAAATTAGAAGTCACATTAGAATAGGTTTTAGGCTCCAAGGATCCTGGTACTTTTCCCGAAAGTAGCCATCCTAATTTGCTACTTACTGCTATTGGCCCTGATGTACCTCTAATGACATCACCAATGATTACATCATATAAATAATCATTACCAATAAGCAAATCAATGCGCCTATTTTGCTCGCTTAGCTTCTTGTCCGCTAGATTAAGGCCTATCAAATGCTGATACTTGCTTACGTCTATGCGCGTATTTATAGGCGAACAAATAGACTGATAGCTTATTGCGCTTATCAAAATTGGCGTCTCATCTATTCCTGTCTCTAACATTAACTTAACGACGTCACATTTCTTGCGTACTGATTTCTCAGTTCCAAATGTGTTCAAATTTAAGTTTTCCTGTCTTTCGACTTCCAGATTTAGTTTTCGTCTGACTTCTTCAGAGATGTAACTTCGTTGGCTCCCACTATCGAAGAAAACATTGATTTTCATCCTCTGAGCCTTGTCTGCCCCATAAACATACGCAGTTGCCGTCTGCAGCAAAACTTCTTGTTTTCCTGTAACACTGGTAGTTACTTTTGTTTCTTCCTCCGTTTGTTTTGCTCCTTTGTAGCAAATTGACTCGTGGTGAAAATTTCTGCCACATTTTTTGCAATTTCGATTTTCCCGACACTTTTTTGTCATGTGTCCAGATTTTAAGCAGGAAAAACATCATTTGGTCTCCAATAGGATCCTTTTTCTACCCGCTATTTCCTGGACTTCTTTGCAGCTTGACGGAGAGTGTGCATGCCCACAATAAACACAATCTTGCACTTTTTCGTCTTTCGTCAAAAATGTCTTCGTAGTGCCTTGTGGTGATTTTGGTCCATATCCTGAAGTTTTGTCAAATTTCCTTTCGACGGGCTTGATGTTATCGCTCAGTTCCCTGGCTTCAATTTCCTTTTTGACGATCTCCAATATTTCTTTTATCGGCCAAACTTCCTCGGTCGTCTTTCTGGCGACATGCAATGTAATTTCTCGTGGCATTCTTGCCATAAGGATTGGTACTAATAAACTGCCATAACTTGCAGAACTCATACCAAGGGCTTCAAGCCCCCTTACGTGTACATTTATGCTGTCGTAAATGAAGCGCAATTGCTTCACGTTTTCGTTTGGGCAGTTTTGTAGTCCAAGGAGAGCCTGCATATGCGTCGAGATTATTTGTTGTTTGTTGCCAAACCTTGCCTTCAAAATTTCCATTGCATTTAAATAATTTTGTTCCGTCAGTTCGAGTCCTGATACTGCACGGTATGCTGGACCCTCCAACAAATTCACCAAGTAGTTGAGCTTATCAACTGCAGTTATGCTTTCGTTTTTATCTATGGCATTCTCGAAACTCTGCCAAAAGGACATGAAACGTGTTATATCTCCGTTAAATCGTGGGAGCGTTATTTTTGGCAGACGAATGGCAACAGATCCCATGGTAACCCCGCTTGTATTGAGACCATGTTCGTTGTTTGTTGCTTGTTCAACGTTTTCAGCTTCTCTGGAAGGCGTTGACGTAATAATTTGTGTCGTTCCACTCCCAACTCCGAATGCATTGGTCTGAGCGTAACGACCGTCTTTAAAAGCTTGAATCCTTCCCAGAATTTCATCGATTCTGAAATTCAGCTCCGTCGTTTCATCGATTTCTTTTTCAATGTTAACTTCTGGACATAATTCCAGTATCTTTTCGTTTAGTCCGTTCACATACGTTTGCTTTTCTCGAAGAGACTTTTGTGCCGTTTCTAAACGAATCACCTTCTCGACTTTTTCTCCATTTTCATTAATTAGTTCTTCAAGAAGAGCCGTGGCTTGTCGTTCAAGCTTCGTAATGGAGGTTCTATTTCCTCCTCGTATTGCTAACAATTTCTTTAATTGTCCACTGTTACCTTCTGTATCAGTGGCCATGATTTCGTCGTATTCCGTGCCCCGCGTTGGGCGACATTATATTTTGAACATAGCTTCGGTAGAGCGTAGACGTGAATGAAACTCCATATCGTTGATTTTATCTTTAAATATATACAAAACGTGACTATATACAGCTATAACGTAAACGTAACTTGTTAGCCCATCATAAACTTGTAGCGTGACTTTATCGTAACTTCACTACTTCAAACAACTTAACCTTACAATATAGGGCGTGAATATATATAACGTAAGAAGACTGGGACGAGTAGGAATCCCCCATGATGGCTTGGGCTGCGAAATATATTGACTTCACAACAAAGCTTTACTTGTTTTCACTATTTATCAAAAATTTCTTCTCTTCCAAAATTGAGTTGCTTTTTAAGCACGTTGAGTTGCTGAATTTCTAAGTTGTTCAATGTTATTTTGGCATTGCTAGTTATGTTCAATCACTTATTTTTGAGTTTCATACTTTTTCATAAACAGAGTTTCTGAATTCTAATTTGCAGTTTTCCAGTAAGCATATTTTATTTGGATTAACAGCAACCTGATACATTATAAATGTTTTATCTCTATGTGCAATGTCTTATCTTCTTCCTAAAACTATTCTTTTTCAAAATCACTCTTCCAACTCTTTTTCAATATCCTTTTTTGGCAAAAATTCCACGGGAGGGGGGCACTCCCATACTTGACCTGATGACACGTGCCCCGGGACAGGCAGTTTTCCCCTAGAAAATATGGCAGAGAGTATTATGAATTGCATAAATTTTTTTGGAAGAGGTTATACTGCCGTCAATTTCCTAGTCAAGTGCACCCTCCAGGCAAAAATTAAAGTATTCTTATAAAAAATCCGGCGTTTTATACCCACAATTCCGACTCTTTAAAGCTTTAATAATGGAATGGAACAGATGTTTCTCATATCGTTATCAGAGGGGTTCGCCATCAGAGCTGCTTTTGTAAAGGACAATATATATATAACAGCGTTCAAAACATGGGTGAAACCCACGACACCACCCTATAAATGTTTCAATCCAAGATACCATTCTTACAACGTAATTCAAAAATGTTTTTCAATGTTCAAAAATAGATATTATCCGTTGCAAAAATAATGCTCCACTCTAATTTTTTCAACAAACCTTATTCTCTCGTCTTCCTTCTATCGTCTTTGCCGTCCACTTCATTTCGAGAATTCGACTTCGTGACTTTAAGACCCCTTGCACCTTTTCCCATGGTCAAATCTTACTCCAATTATTTATGGGCCTGTGGTAGTTCTTAGAATTAAAATTTTGCACCTAGATAACTCATTGCAAAACCCGTTTCTTAAATAATTTTCAATGAGTAGGTCCAGGTCGTGACAAAGTAATTAAGATATCCTATAATAAAAAAAGCTGTCATTGAAATTGAATGAGCCCTGCATGTTGAGACCAGACTGTCAGAAACTCAAAAATTAGAAACGTGCAGCAAAAAAATCTCCAACATTAGCATCTCTTTGGTTATCACAAGATATCATTAATTACAAGACTAATCGATTAAATATTAAATTAAATTTAAAGGAAATAAATATCTCATCAAGAATGAATCTGGAAACGAATCTTTACAGGCTTGTATTGTGTAAATAAAT